AAAAAAAAAAAAAAAAAAAAAAAGGATGAGCTATTTAAAAATAGGTTTATATATTACTGCTCTTAGTAAACAAATGTCAGGTTTTTTTTTTTTCTGAAAGAGAAGCTGTATGACATGTCTAGTGATAAAACATCAGCAGGAGACCTTTTTAATAGTTTTTAGTGCTAGATCATTTTGTTTTAAACATATTTATGGGACAGGTTAATCAGACTAACCCTATAGATTCTATAATTTGCCTTGACTATCTTTTTCCATATCCTTAACGTAGTAGTATCCTTCACTAAACACATATTGTGTAATGCCAATTATACTTTTAATTAATTATTTTTATGAGTCTCTTTGCATGACTATAAATGTTTCCCTCTGCATTGGCCCTTTAGAATCTTAAATTAGTGCAATTTGGGAAATAGGGATTGGGAAGGGAAAGGGTTATAGAATTGTGTATTAAAAGAATGAGATTTCATGGCAGAGTAGGAAAAGGTATTGCCTGTTTTTTGACATTCTGGAAAAATCAATTTGAATTAAATCTGATGGTGTTCGTTTCAATTCTGAACAATCCCAGCTTTAAAGAAAAAGATTAGTTTGTATTTTTTTTTTAACTGTTCAAGTTGGAGCCCACTTTTGTGAAACTAGATACTAATCTACAAGAACCTATAATATGGGGATCACAAAACCTTACTTAAACTAAATTCCTGAAGGTAAGTAGAAATAGACTGGCTTAATGTTGGGTGTGGATGGCAATCAGTGTAACAGAATCAGGAAAGTACTGGTTTACCAAAAAAAAAAAAAAAAAAAATTGGGGATTTTTGATCCAAAAATGTGAAGGCGCCATAATCTTTTTGATTTTGATTAGTTCTTAATGAAGCAGGTTATTACTTTAACTCTTTCAGAAAGTTATTAGCACCTTCGTTAAGGGCCTTGCATTGTAGTACATACCCTCTCACTGGTCTTCGGGAGCCTTAGCATTGGTTTTCTTCAGTCTTCTTGAACTCTGCTATCAATAGATTCATCTTTTAAAAATATATCTCATTATGTCTCTTCTCCTTAGTGATTGTTCATGCCTGTGAAATCATTCCGGTTTCCCTACAGTGGGCTTTTTGCAGTGGGTTAACTCTTCAGCGGCCTCTCCTACCGGCCTGTTTTGCTCAGTCATGCAGATGACTTGAGTCTTTGCTTCCAGGTAACACAGACACAGCCACAGTGAATGAAGGTTAAATCACTAAGAAGACAGATCCTTTTGGAACTCATCCCAATATCTCCCAGGTAAACCATAGCCAGGTTTCATGGCTTGCACATATCTGGGGTTTGCACAGCCTGTTCTTATGTCTTAAATGTTATTTTTTTTCTTTTCTGCCAGGGGAGTTTTGTGATCCTTCATGGTGTCTTCACATTTCAAGATTCATTCTTTGTTTTGGCTAGTCCTGATTATAGTAACATTCTATTTCTTTAAAAAAGCTTGAATAAAAGGAAGTGAACTGAGAGTTAAGTTTTTGGCTTGAATCCCTGGTACCTAGGAGATGGCCTGGCATTTGGTAAGCACTCAAAAAATATTAGTTAAATTGAGCCATTTGTCAGAGAATTAGTGTTCACTAAAACACACTCCTTATATTATATTGAAAATAACTTTGTAACTTCAAGGCATTTATGATATTTTTCTGTGCTTTACACCTATTATGGGCAAATATTGTTGTACAGCAGTTGAGGGAAAAGGTTTCCATGATCAGACTGATTGAACTTCTAGTTATTTCTATTTTATAAGTTTCTTCTACTGCTGGGCCCTGCCCATCTCTGAAGCCAATATTCTAGAATGAATGTATCTGCCTGAAAAGAAGAAGAAGGAAAGGAAGAGGAATGGAGTGTCACATGTTAGTGATGAACCACAATTAGATGCCTGTCCGGACTGCCTGTACCATGCCCTACTTCAGCAAAGCACCCTAGAGTCAGATATTATCAGTGTGCATTCCTGAAGTTTCTTTGCTTCCTGATAATAGGCATTACCATATCGATGAGGGTTAAATAACCAAGGGAGCAGGTCATGCTGAAACCCATCCCCATGCTCGCAGAATTCCCCCTCCATAATCTCCTTTCAGATAAGATACAGGAGTGTGATGTGTTCCACTGAACCATGTCTCTGCCCCTTCCCACCTAGTCCACCTCCATGTGCACGCATAATAGTGACATCGTGTTCACTGTTTACTACCACAATTATATTTTAATTTTGTAGTTAGTATTTCCTGGGGGGAAAAAAGAGTTCTTTCACCACAGATTGAAGCATTAATATAAGTAATAATGAAAATTTCAGACTTTTGAAATAAATTTGCCAAGATCAACTTGGACTCCTTTTCTTCTTATGCCCATCCCTAGCCAAAGCAGCAATAATATAGTAATAATGATACTTTGCAGTTTCTAGACCACTTTCATAACATTATCTGGTTTAATGTCAACAAGTTTGTGTGTGTGGTAGCTGTTCTTTCCAACTTTTTGAAGAATCTGAGGGTAGGGGTGCCTAGGTGGCACAGTTGGCTAAGTATTGGACTCTAGGTTTCAGCTCAGGTTATGATCTCAGGGTCGTGAGATCAAGCCCCACATCAGGTTCCGTGCTGGGCGCCACACTCAGCATGGCATCTGCTTGAGATTTTCTCTTCCTCCTCCCTCCCCCATGCCTCTCCCTAAAATTAAGAAGAAAAAAAGAATCTGAGGTAATGACTTTTTCTAAGATCACATAACAAGTAAGTAACAAAGCTGGAACTTGAGCTCAGGTCTGATTGATTTTAAATATACTTTTTTTTTTTACTGTCAAGTTGCCTAAATATGAATGTAGAGCAAGGGAGGAGTATTCCACTTTGACTATGGTGTGTAATGGACAGTGTCTGTTCTATGTTTACAACTGAAAGAAGTCACAAAAATGACTAAAATGTTGGAAAATAAAACCTGAAACAAAAAAGTTGAGAAATTACTCATCTGGAAAGGCAAAGGCTGAAGAACAGTTTAATGATAGTCTTTTGGTCCATTAAAGAGTCTTACGCAGGGAGGAGATCGAGCCCAGCTGTTGTTAATCTACACTGAGGCCAGGCCTAAGGAGAAAAAGAGGAAAGGAAAAAAAAAATGTTAAACTGTAACAGAAGGGATAAGAAAGAATTTTTTGATAATAAAGATCATTAAATATTGGATTGGTTAGAGTGTGTTAAGTCTCCTTTTCTGGCAGCCATTAAAAATTCCTATCTTTGCTAAATAATAAGTATGATTCCTCCAGAAATGAAGTATTTGAAATGGATGATTCTTCTGAGACATCAGTCCCTCAGACCAGTTTTTCCCTAAATACGAGTAAGAAACCTGAGGAAGAGAAGGCTTCCCTCACCATCCAGTTCATCCAGATGCTCTCATATAGTATTCAGTCAGTATACCGGTTAACTGCCAAACTTCTCATTCTGTTGCACATAGATTCAACAAACATTTATTGAGCAACTACTGTGAGTCCATCCTTGGGTTTATTCTACAATTGTAACAAATCCGTCAGCCATAATGCAGAACTGATTATGACTCTAGTATTTGAAGATACATGACTCGGCATAACTGGTCCTCTAACACAAGCCTTGTATTTTAACTGATACTCACTCTAGCCAGTCCAGTTCTTGGGATGTGAGAGAGGTGAGAGGAGGGATCTGATAGTGCTGAACTTCTCTCCGTGTCCAGTATGGTCAGAGCCTTTCAAGGGTAATTTGACAGTAATTGAGAACTTCCTTTGCTGACCACAGAATATGAAATCTGGGAAAGACAACAGAGTTGTAGACACTGTGACAGTAGAGGATTCATGTGCTATATTCCCACACACCATGAATGATTGTAGAATTTTGCATGAGTGAAACTGAGCTAGAAATCATTCTCTTTTTAGGTGGCAGGTGCTTTGAGAAATAAGTGTAAGATAAGGCACTTTCCCTTAACTAGCTTACAGATAAACTAGGGAAAGAAGATGTACTGACATGACTGAAATCACAGGATGGTTGAGGGCTCAAGTGAGTGGCACAGACAGTTGCTGTCAAAGTTAAAGGTGGTGATAATAGGAGTTGGAGATAGTTATAAAGGTTTCACAGAGAATGTTGAAATAAAGTTGGAATGTGAAGGGCAGAGAGTTGTGGGCAGTGGGAAGAGTTGGCAGGGAAGGTGAGTGTTTTGGTTACATGGGAAAAGGCCCAGAGTTAGGACTGAGGGGTGGCACAGACTTGGGCTAGGTTGTATCTGAGAAGTTTGTACTTTATCCCAGAGGTAATAATGAGGTAATAGAGATGATTTGGTAAATGTATGCAAAAATTTGTGGATTTTGGTTTGCTTCTGGGGTTTAAAAAAAAAAAAAAAAGTTGTTTCCCTCAATTACATAATGCCTGTAAACTAGAGAAAATTTGTAAACTTCAGGAAAAGTGAGAATAATAATATTTATTGAAGCTTTTTGCATGGATTTTGGAATTCTTTTTCTGTTGAGATAGTTTCAAAATGTTATATATTGTCTTTGAGAACCTGTGATACCATACTCCTCTGTTAGTACCCTAGTTGTCTGTTTACTTGCCTGCTTCCCTTACTAGACCTTGGTTAGGGTCCTTAAGTGAGAGCCAAGATGTTTTGTTTATCTTTGCATCCCAAGCACCCAGCAGGGCTAGGATGTATTGATGTCCATAGCCTTTGTGGAATTCATGGAGTAGTCTCTAATCTCACAGGATCTACTTAGAAAAGGGGGAGCCAGAGTCAGTGTAAGATTTGTAACAGCCACTGTGGATATAGGGATGAGAACTAAACAGAAATAAGTGTGAGGGCTGGCAGGCAGCATGGAGCTGTATGGATGGTAGATATGCCAGAAAAATTAACGAACTTCACTTTGAAGTGACTAGCCCATTCATTCTCAACATCCCCAGGAAGCTTGTTAGAAATGCAGATTCTTGGCTCCCATTCCAGGCTTACTGATTCAGAAACTCTGGCTCTGAGACACTACAGCCTTAAATCTAAGTGATCATGATAAATGCTCAGGTTTGCAAATCAGTAGCCAAGAAGGACAGGACTGATGGTGAAGACTGGCATAGAAGGATTGAAAGCCCAAAGATGTATGTGATGCCAGTGAATAAAACTGTTGAACAGCCATGCTAGCTGGAACAGGAAAACTGTGAGAATAAGATTATATTATTACAAAGAAAGCAGAGCGTGTTTTAGGTGGGCAGGGTCTACTGCTCCTGCTTAGTTCACTGCCTTCCTGATCTTAGCGTTTAAGTAGATAAAGTAGATTTAAAGTCTATTAGTCCTACCAGAGGGACACCCCCCGCCCAAAATCTCCACCCAGATTTTCTCTCCTGTCTCCACACAACTGCCTACCGAGCTTTAGCTGTCTCATAGGAGCCTCAGATCTCTAACACCACTGTGGTTATTACCTCTCCCTTGAAACCTGTATCACTGCATGTGTTTCCTATTTCAGAGAGCTGGACTACCACCACGCAGTTACTCAGGTCAGTTTATTCTTGGCTTATTTCTCATTAAACCATGTCACTTCTAACTCCTCATGGCTTTAAAGATACCTATTTTTCTCCATCCCTACTAATACCCTTATAATTTAGAACTTTCTCATTGATAATCTTTAATAATCACATAATATTATATAACACATAACAGTCATCTTAACTTAATAATCACATAACAGTCATCTTAACTGGTCTCTCTGCCTCGAGTCTTTTCAGCTTCAAATCCATTCTGAATGTGGCCAGAACAAGCTGTCTAAAAATTTGATTAGTTCTTTTCTTAAACTATCCAGTGGCTCCCCATTACCATTTTGATAAAATACAGTCTCCACAATTTGGCTTTTACTATTGGTCTCCTGTCTTCCTTTCCAGCCCTTTGTCCTTGCACCTTCAGTCCTTGTCACCTGCTCTCTCTCTGCTTGGTATTACATTCCTTTACCTTTCTTTACCAGACTGACACTGCTAATCCTTCAGGTAGTTGTCAAGATATTATCTCTTTGAAGATTTCTCTGACCTTCTGAGGTCTAATGACAAAAATAACGCCCTGAATTTCCCCTTGCATATCACTCCTAACACCTTATTGTAATTGCCTGTTTATTATTTTATATAGCACATTCTTACCCACCCCTCACCTCACTGCATTGTAGTCTCCACAAGGGGTTGAGATGTGTCACTTTTACTATTATATCAGTAACTGGTAAACAGCAGATGTACGACAGATGTGTTGAAATAGGTAATAATCGATAGTCCAGATACGATAATTTGAAATAATTTTAAAGGCTACTGGGTAGGAATTTGTGTTTTCCATCCTTCACTTACCCCTTCTTTATCTTGTTCATCTAGTCTGTGTAGTGTGCATTATGTGCACTGGGTGCTGTGCTGGTTGCTAAAATTCAACTGTAACAAGACTCAGTCTTTGCAACAGGGTTTATCCTCTAGTGGAGGAAGTAGACAATTTAAAAAGTAGCCTGTGTACAGTATATAGAGCCCAAGAAAATGGAAGAATGGAGTGCTAAGGGAACAGCTAGAAGAGGCAGCCAACTCAAGTTTGGAGGGTCAGAAGGAAGTGATGCCTAAGCCCCTATTAAAAATTTAGTTTTTAAAAACTGAAAACTGAATTTTTCAATAAAGCACAGGAACGTACTGTTCCAGATAGAGGGAACAGACCATAAATGTTCACTAGGGAACAAGAAAAGGGGGCACCTTATGACTAGAGGTCAACAGGTTAGGAAGGAAAGCAAGCTGGGATAGTTTGGGAGGCTTGTGTTTGAACAACTGCAGTATGGGAAATGCACTGAAAAAGGCAGAAGGTGGGATAGACCAATTAGATGTAATCCAACAGAGAGATGAGAGCTGCTGAATTTAGGAAGAGGCCTGCAGGGGATAGGGTAGTGAATGGATTAGAAAAATATTTGGGGCAAAGAGCAAAACCTTGGGGATTGATGAGATTTGTAGAGAAAAGAAAGGGACCTTGGTTCTAACCCCCGTCTTCTTTTCCTATAGCTCCCGGCTAGTATGAGGCAAGGATTTCACAGAACTTGTGGCAAAAATCCCGCCCCCCATACCTTTAAACTGAAATTTTGAGGGACTGCAGGAAAGGGAAAAAGGGTGAGATCACTCTAGAAGGCAGATGATGTTTATGGGAGAGAAGCATTCCTGTTAAGTATCTAGATTGAGAAGAAAGCAGCAATAAACACCTATTATTCAGTAGGCCCTTTTGTTTCCTATACTTGAACTTGTTAGGTATGTAGTCTTCTGCCACTAAGTCATCTAAGATCCATGAATAATTTAAAAACATCCTCTGCATAAATAAATAGATAAAAACATCCTCTGTAAAACCTTTTAATTGTCAGAAAACAAAAACCTCCTTAATTGTCAAATACATTCCCAGTTTCAAGAGGTGCAACTTTATTTTAGGATGTACCTTTCAGTCCTTTAACTTCTAACAAATTACATTTAATATCTTTTTAGTAATAATCATAAATAGAATTTGAAAGAACTTAGAGGTCATTTTATCTCTGGCTTTGAGTTTTGTAAGTGAAAAAAATAAAGCAGAACTAGGTGAAATAACTTGTCCAAGATCACAATGGCCACACTGTCGGTGACAATGAACTTGAGTGGGATCCATGCCTCCCTCTATAACTTAGTGTTAAATTAGTGCACTAGGCCTTTTGAAGGCCCAGAAATCGTGCATGATCTAGATCAAGCTCCATGTGTTCAGGACTGATTTTAGAAACTAAGCTGAAACAGATTTCTTGTCATAGTTTGAACTTACCAGTTTTTTAATAATAAGTAAAATACCTAAACTGGTCTGTACACTCCTTGATGATAGCAGCCAGAGTGTTTTAATCATTGTGGCTTGTACATAATAGGCATTTAATAAATGTGTTTTGAATGAGTCAGTCATACCTAGCTAACCATTAATCAACTTTTTCTATTTCATTTTAAAAGATTTTTGTCCCCTTAGTACCTCTATGATTCCTTAGTTAATTTATGAAATGGTCTTTGTATATATTTTTACATCATGTTTTTCTTAGAAAACTGTATGGTGTGTATCTTCTTAATATCTGAATAACAGCATTTCTGCACTCATGTTGTTTTGTGCTAGTATTCATTTTCTGCCATAGCGTGATAGCATAATAAACACTGTTCATTTAATTTTTTCTCCTAACTTTATAGATATAAAACATGTTTCAGAAAGATTAAATGACTTGTTAAAAATATATATACCTTTGGAGTCAGTAGAAGTGCTGGCAATTAACCTGAGGTCTTGACTTACCATCCGTTAGAATGTTCCATAGAGTTCTCTATATTTATTAAGTTCATGTATTTCTCCATTAGTCATGTTATTATTTAGGTTCATCACTGTTAGTATCAGGATTTTATTATCTCCCTGCTAAAATGACCAAGGAGGATTACTTGGAGATATTTGTGGAAAAAGGGTACAACTTGCTATAACCTGTTATTCTTTTGATGAGGAGGATCCAAAAAGGGGGGGGAGGGGAAAAGAAGAAGAAGAGCAAAGAAAAGAAGGGAGGGAGGGAGGAGTAGGGGAAGAAAGAGAAGGTTCCATATGAGAGGTGATTGTTTGCCACTGCTTGACACCTGCTGCCAGCTCCATCTTCAGTGGGCCCTGGTCATTTGTGTATTACAGTTTTAGATGCGTAGGTTGAGGAGATGGTACAAGCTTGCAAATGTTTGATGTTCCCTAATTGTACTTTACCCCTAGAAACCCTCCAAGAAGACATGGCTTCCAGAGAAGAGAACATGAAAAGGACGAACAGAGTGCTGAGAATAAGTCAGTTGGATGCACTTGAACTGAACAAGGCCCTGGAGCAGCTAGTTTGGTCCCAGTTTTCTCAGTGCTTTCATGGATTTAAGCCAGGGCTGTTAGCCCACTTTGAACCAGAGGTGAAAGCATTACTGTGGCTTTTCTTGTGGCGATTCACCATCTATTCTAAAAATGCCACTGTGGGACAATCCATTTTGAATATTCAGTATAAAAATGATTTTTCCCCAAAGCTGAGGTACCAGCCACCAAGTAAGAATCAGAAGCTGTGGTATGCTGTGTGTACAATTGGCGGGACATGGCTGGAAGAGCGCTGCTATGACCTGTTTCGAAACCGTCATTTGGCATCATTTGGGAAAGCCAGGCAGTGTATGAATATCATGGTTGGACTTTTTAAATTAGGTGGGCTCATTAATTTCCTGATTTTCCTTCAGAGGGGCAAGTTTGCAACTTTGACAGAACGTCTCCTAGGCATTCGTTCTGTATTTTGCAAGCCCCAAAACATACGTGAAGTTGGCTTTGAGTATATGAATAGGGAACTTCTCTGGCATGGTTTTGCTGAGTTTCTGATTTTTCTCTTACCACTTATTAATATCCAGAAATTGAAAGCTAAGTTGTCTTCATGGTGTATTCCTCTTACTGGTGCTTCTAATAGTGACAATACGTTATCCACCAGTGGCAAACAGTGTTCTCTGTGTGGAGAGTGGCCCACCATGCCTCACACCATAGGATGTGAGCATATCTTCTGTTACTACTGTGTTAAAAGTAGTTTCTTATTTGACGTGTACTTTACTTGTCCTAAGTGTGGCACAGAGGTACACAGTGTGCAGCCACTAAAATCAGGAATTGAGATGTCAGAAGTGAATGCTCTTTAGAAACTAAGATTGTTTCCTCTGAGGAAAACTGTATTATATTCAAATCCTTAATGTTAGTCATCCTAAGCATACTGTTTAGGAGGGAATGTGCTTTTCAGCCACTGTCTTCTATTCCTTTCCAAGTATGAAATTCTAATCACTAGACACCACATGATTCTGTATATATTATACAAACAATAATGTATTACTTTTCTTTAAATCATTGCATTCAGTTTTTAATGTTGAGAATAATGGACAGTTTTTGTCAGACTACTAAAAACACTCTCTCATTTTGCTACTTCCTGGAAAGAGGTTAGATTCTAAAATGATTTCGGAGACTTGAGATGAGTGTGTATTTATTTTCAAAGATGGCATTATAACGTCATAATCTGACAATGATAAGACCCTGTTGTTTTGAGACTTAAGATCTAGTGCCCCAGTTGTAATTTTAAGCTACTCTCTAAAACCCGTTTTTAAAGCGTTCAGTTGGCTTCCCTCTCAGGCAAAATAAGGGCCACCAGGAGCTCCAGACTGATGTTTTGCCGGCTTTCTGATTCCCTGGGAATAAGAGCTTCTTGTGTAATAGTTCAGGCTAAATCCAGGACCTCATTGTCATTGGTCTGCCTGGGATTACACATTTGTGAGCCAGGACAAGAAAAGTACTAATCTTGATTACTAGATGTATACCACGTGGACCCGTAGTAGGAGAGAGGCAGTTCACAGGAAAGTCAGGTGCCATTGTAAGAATAGTGGATGGTGGGCAGGTAGAAACAAAGATCCCTACTAGAGTCCACATTTACCTTTTTCATATCAAAAGTTTGTATGTATTTAATTTTGCCAGTGATCTAAGTTGATGAGAACATAAGTAACTGAGTGGTTGACTTAGATTAAAGATTTAAAAGGATTAAATGAATAAATATTTTGTTATACCAATAATTTTGTTGTGTTATTTTGATAAAGTGCTCTCTGAGTTAATACCCATATTGTTATTTTAACATGAAAATAGTACTTTACATATATGTTAACTAATAGAGTTGTCAATATTATGGGGGTTTTATGTTTTCCCAGACACTAATGGCACTTTAGTACCATATATATTTTTTAATTTTTAATTTTATTTAACCTCTACCCCCTCACTAAGTGATTATCCATAGGAGGCCAGGGAGTATGACTGTTGTGCTCATCACTGGACACCAGAACCTACCACTCTTGGTGCCAGTGTACCAATAGAGACATTTTGTTAGCTGAGCAACTAAATCTACTATCACAGATTAGGTTCTGGAGAAGTACATGTTGCAAGGGACTTGAAGTACTTGGGCCTGGATTGGATCAAAGTAGTCAGGCCTTTTTACTTACACCTCTCAGCCACTCCCCCAGCTGGGCAACACATCCATCCCTGGAGGAGCTGGGTGACCAGCCTAATGTCAACCACATCTAATACTGTCTCTCCATTATTTTTCTTTATGGTTTTCCATTTTTGTTACTCTTGCTTGGAAGCATACAAACACACTAATGGCAGGAAGTATTCAACTTAAAATCATTCGGTTTATGACTGATTTCTGTACTCTAAGTGCTGCCTCAGGGAACTCCAACTCACTGCAGAGACCTAGGCCTACTGGCTAAGTTGCTCCAACAGTCCCAGACCCCGTTGGTTCCTTGCCTCCTTGTGCACTGCCAGGAGACTTGCTCTAATACTGGTTCTTCTATTCCTACTCCCCAGTGGTCTCAGGGCTCACGGTTCTATAACTGGGTCATATTTGGCTATGTGATACATTTCTGCTTTAGCCTCAAGAACCTAACCATCGCCTATGAGCTTCTCCCCTTAGGAAAATAAAAACTTTTACATGTTGTTTTTTCTCTCCCTTTCTCTCCTGTGTAACTTGTTCTCCAATCAGATTTGCTACTTGTATATATAATGTATCCAGTTGCTTCAGTGATTATATCTGAAATACATACCAGTCAAAGCTAACCCAAGGCATGTCCTGCTCCCTTACTTCAGAACTCAGTGGGTTTTGGGTAAGTTTATTTAACTCCTCTAAGATTCAATTTGGTCAACCTATGAAGTGGGCATTCAGTAATATCTATCTCTTAGGACTGTAATGAGAATTAAATAAATCATTCTCTCAAAAATTACTTATTGAGTCCCTACAGGCATTCTTCTCTAGGCAGAGATGTACTTATAAATAAAAACCCCTTTTTACATTTGTGGAGGAATAATAGACAATAAACACATGTGTAAGATAATTTCAGAAGTTGGAAGTACTCTGAAGAAAAAAAGGCTGAGGTAATGGAGAGTGACAAGGGATGCTGTTGAACTTTGCAAAGAGATCTGAATGAACTGAGGGGGAAAGCCAAGCACAGGAGAGTGCCAGGATAAGGAAATGACAGGTACCCAAGCTCTGAGACGAGACCTGGTTAAGCCACAGTGAGAAATAGAGTGACAAGAGAAAGGTGAGGTAAGGGACACAGGGTCAGGCCAGGCAGGCCATGGTAAAAAAACAAAACAAAACAAAAACTATCTGGATTTATTCCAAGTATGAGGAAGCAAAGAAGTTCCAAGTTCCTATTTTTAAAGGGTCCCTGTGGGTGCCTGGGTGGCTCAGTGGGTTAAAGCCTCTGCCTTCAGCTCAGGTCATGGTCCCGGGGTCCTGGGATTGAGCCCCATATCGGGCTCTCTGCTCAGCGGGGAGCCCGTGTCCTTCTCTCTCTGCCTGCCTCTCTGCCTACTTGTGATCTCTCTGTCAAATAAATAAATAAAATCTTTAAAAAAAAAAGAAAAAAAAAGGGTCCCTGTGATTAAGGTATGGTGAGGTATGAGTAAAGGCCAGAAAACCTAATTAAAGGCAATTTGGTACAACCGATTATTGTTATCATATCTATTAGGTTTGTGGTACATTAACAGTGTCACTATCTGTGGTCAGGATAATGGTCAGGAACCTGGAAGTAAACAAAACTGTAGGAAACCAAAATATATTTTCATAGATTCCACACACCAAACCTCTACTCGAGGTATTTCCTTGAGTCCCCATTCAGAAGCTGCTTTATTTTGAATAGAATTCTAATGAACTTTCAACAACAGACTGAAAATAATGTAAGAGGAGGGGGAAAGCTGATGAAAGCAAATATGTTTACAGTTATAAATAATAAAAAAGAAAAGCCTGGTATCACTGGAAAAAAAAACCTATAATCTGGTCACAGATCAGGGACACACAGGCTCTAAGGACCAAATGAGTAATAATAATGGTTTTTAAAATGATCTTGGGGGCACCTGGATGGCTCAGTGGATTAAAGCCTCTGCCTTTGGCTCAGGTCATGATCCCAGGGTCCTGGTATCGAGCCCCGCATGGGGCTTTCTGCTCAGGAGGGAGCCTGCTTCCTCCTCTCTCTCTGCCTGCCTCTCTGCCTACTTGTGATCTTTGCCTGTCAAATAAATAAAATTTGAAAATAAATAAATAAATAAAAATGATCTTGGATCATCGATAAGGGTACCTTATATTCTGTATAATTTGGTTAAGAAGGCAGGAACATTAGTATGGTTATAGTTGAGGAAGCCTTCATGTTGGCATTTACAGGCAAAAACTTGATTCACTTAGAACATTTGCTTTTAACAAAGAGCTGGTTTTCCTAATAGTACTTAATAAGTGAAGTGTTAACTGAATTAAGGAAAGGTATTTTCAGCAACAGAACAATTCCAAACAGACTTTTTAGCCAAAACAATTGTCCGTATTATCTATAGAACTGCTGCTTCATGGTTCTTTCCAGCTAAAGCTAGTATGTAGAACATGTTTATATTCATCACAAGTAAGTTGACAAGTATTTCACTTGTACGTCTGGGGTTTTTATTCCTTCAAAGAGTATGTAAATCACGAAACAAGACAGGCTGTGCCTTTCTGTTCCCAAGTTGTCACTTACTATCTCTTGATATTTTCAAGACAAAGCTTATGGTTTTAAAATGTCATTTTTCTTAAAAGTAAGCATCATTATCATGTTGTCCAAAGGCCTTCCTTGAGCAGTACCTTGAGTTGTTTTCTGCCAATAAGAACAATTCAAACAAGACTAATCCAAGTCACTCCTGAGGCCAGAAAATCCAAAAGTATGGTATTCAGTAGGTAGTTCACTTTCCTTCTGTTTGGCAGTAGAGTAACTTGTTCTCACTAACAGATTGAACCCAGCCTGTGCTGAAATCCCAGAGCCAATAAAACCTAAATCTACTAAGATAAGTAAAGCTGATTTTAAAATCAGATGGGTGTGGACATGTTTATATCCATTGACCTTAAGAATTTATCTCAAGGAAATTATAAGAATTTGAAAATAGATTTACTGAAATGATTTTCACTATAGTTCTGTTCACAAGATGTGAAATGACACAAATGCTTAATAATAGGAAACCAAAATAGTATAGCTATTTAATTGACTTAATGTCATATAAATACCATGAAAAAATTGTGCAAAAATACATATGAATAATTTCACTTACATGGGAAAGTGTTCACAATATAATATGAAAGAAGTTGGATATTAAATATATGATCTCAACAGATGCATATATATCTTGAAATGAGACAAACAGACACTTATGAGATGAGCAGGCACATACATGTAATAAATATCTCTGGGTTAGTCATCTATTCAACTTTAATTTTTACATTTTTCTGTATTTCCCAAATTTTCTACATTGAGCATGTAATACTTTTTCATTACACTAAAACCAGTTATTGCTTTAAAATCTCATGGCCAATTTTTTTACAGTTCATTTCAAAGGTAAAATATCTGCATAGCTAGTAAACAAGTTAAAAATGTAAATTTAAGAGATGTATGATTCTAAAAAATCCTAGAGTATCCATTTTTTGCTTGACAGTAAAGTCCTGCCTTTCTGACCAACCACAACTGTTGAAAGAGTCTGAATTATTTTGGATATTTTAAATTAAATATTAATTTCGACTCCATATAATACAAACACTTTAACCACTTAGAAATATGTAGGCAACAAAAAGGTAAAAAGTGCCTACTCCCTTCTCCAAAAGTATTTGATGTTTATAAATAAATGTATGGTATTTTTAAATAATTGTAGTTTACTTACTTTAAAATATCTAGAACTCATACACCGGATCAAAACAGTTGACATGTATATTTTATATTATCAGTTTGCCTAAGCCTGTAGGATGCCTGTATTTCCTCAAATAAGAATCAAGACCCAGGATCTGACCCAGGATTCTGTATTCCTTCCAGACGTGGACACAAAAATGCTGATATTTCTGAGGTATTTTTATGGTTTGGTTTACTAGTAAGGCATATTACAAACTTGAACTTCAGCTGAGACTTTATCTAAATAGTCAAAACACTGAATAAGTGAACCAGAGACTTTACTGTTCTGAGAGGTGTCCAGGGTGGTTCCCTACTAATCATATCTCACTAAGAATTCTCTCTCCTAATAGTATCCTCTCCTAATAGCCTCTATTCTTTTAAATCTTTTAAATCCACATCAATTTATAAATGTGCCTTTTTAGTCAACAAAAATTATAAAATGCTACAGTATGGTCAGTTGCTTTAAAAATGCTTTGCTCCCGGGGCACCTGGGTGGCTCAGTGGGTTAAAGCCTCTGCCTTTGGCTCAGGTCATGATCCCAGGATCCTGGGATTGAGCCCAGCATGGGGCTCTCTGCTCAGCAGGGAGCCTACTTCCCTTCCACTCTCTCTGCCTGCTTCTCTGCCTACTTGTGATCTCCATCTGTCAAATAAATAAATAAAATTTTTAAATAAATAAATAAATAAAAATGCTTTGCTCCTGATCAAATACAAAAGAGCAAATATATTCTTTGAAAGCAAGCCCCTTCTCTAACTTACTAAAATATTCCTCAGTTTCAACTAGATAACTCTCTGAAACAGCAAAATAGACCGTGGGCTCAAAGAGGACAGAGATTATATATATCTCTC